CTAATAACATTCAACCTCGCGCCTTTCCTGGACTACCTGTGACTCTAGCCCAGTGGGGATTCCCACCTGCAACAGGTTCTTAAGCCAAACTTGTAAATCAGCTCCCATTTCCTCTCCACAGCCTATTTCCTGCTCTCCGGTGTTAAATAGACTTATTTAAATGGCTCATTGCTTGCAGAACATGTTCAGAGGGTAACTCTGTCTCTGAGGACAAGAATGTAGATATTAATAATAACACATAATAACTACCCTTTTAATTAAAAAGACCTCATGTGCTAGGCTCTCTTCTGAGCTCTTGATATGTTTTATATCATGTGATCCTCCTAACAGTAGTCCTCATAGGACTGTTGGAATTTTCTCAGACGAGGAACCTGAGGCTGAGGTAAGGCAGCTCACCCTCAGTGACGGAGTGAGTCAGTGGTAGAACCAGAGCTCAGGCCTGGGTTTGTCCACCTACAAAGCCCAAGCTCTCGGTGACAGACTGTCCCACTTCCCCCGACCCATGTCAGTGACCACTCTCACTTTATCAGATCAGGTACCAGCTCTCCTGGGGCAGGTAGCACATGTTTTAAGAGAGAGCATTATCCAATTCCTGTGACAGAGAAAGAGGTGTTTGGGATTAAATACGTACTTCTACCAAAATATCAAACTGGCATGGTACAAGTCTCCACCTTCTCTCTGATTCAGGATTTCTTAACTTGGGACTGTGGGTGGCCTCTGGGAGCTCATGAGTCCTCTAAAATGGTATGCAGAATGCTTTACTGCTGGTGTAGGGTTGAGGCAGAGTTGGCTTCTGTGCTCTTTTGTGTCTTTTTAAGATTTTATTTATTTGAGACAGAGCGCAAGAGTGTGCAGGTGCACAAGGCAGGAGGAGGAGCAGAGGCAGAGGGAGAAGCAGACTCCCTGCTGAAGCAGGGAGCCCGACACGGGGCTCAATCCCAGGACCCTGGGATCAGGACCTGAGCCGAAGGCAGACGCTCAACCAGACTAAGCCACCCAGGCGCCCTGGCTTCTGTGCTCTTTTACAGGAACAGTGCTTTCATGGGAACCACGGCTTTCAGGAGACTTTCAAAATAGTACTGTCTCTAACAGTGTTAAGAAACAATGTACTAATTGCAGTGGGACATAAAATTGGTTTTATCTAAATTACAAACATAGTCTTATCCCAGGAAATTATATTAGAGTTTTTCCCCCCCGAAGTACATTCAAACAGAACAAATTTCAAAACTAAGCTTCTTTGAGGGCAAAAATATCTGTGTGTGTGGAGCTGTGGCTTTCCCAGCCTTCTGATAGGAGTCCACTAATAGTGGGTATGCTTCAGAGCTCTGGGGCTGAGTCCATAGCCGCCCTGCTTCCTGAATTCAATTAAAATGTTATTGGGATAAGTAAGAGATCAAATGAACCTTAGACTTTTAAGAGTGGGGACTTTGTTCATTGAGCATTTTCATGCTTGCGGTCTATGAGGCATTAGGAATTTTATAGTAAATAAAAATCCCTACCTTTATGGAGCTTGCATATTGTGTTCTGTATACATCTTTGTATCACTAATGCCTCACAAGGAACACTGCTCAACTGTTGGATAAATAAATGTCCTGCTGCATCCTTATTAGGTTAAAAGGAAGGCCATTGGCTTTGATTTTCACCATCTGATTATTGAGTCCCAATTATGATCCAGGCATTGAGCTAGGTACAGGAGATATGGGGTAAGCAAAACAAGATGTGGCCTGTTTCCCAGTGGGAAGACAAGACAATCAAGTAAGCACATAAATAATTGTGAACTTGGACAGGTGCCATGAAGGAATTGACTTGATGTTATGAGAATATATAATGAAGACCTGGCCTGATAGGGGGAAGAAGTTGCTGGGGAAGGGTACACTAAAGTGACGTTAGAGCTCAGATCTGAAAGGTGAATAGGAGTGAACCAAGTGCGGGGTTGTCCAGGCAGGGGACCAGGCTTGCACTGTATGTTCACTGTGGTTGCCATTTCTGTTCAGAAGATAGGTTGATGCAAAGAAGAGGGGGTCCTTTCTCATTACTTTAACAAGCATTTGTGGGCACTCTCTTTGTGCATGGGCAGGGGATGACGAGTGAGATAGTTCTGACCTGGGGAACGCACTGATAATGGGACAGACAGGCTGAGAGGTGCTGGTTTCTCTGGGGTGCAGCCTAATAAGGAGGCTGGAATTGTGGCTTTTGCAGCTGGTACCTCTTGGTTCCCCATTTGGGTATCAGGCATCTGCCTTTTCATGGGGTCCATTCCTCAGAGGAAGCCTGAACTAGTTGGCTCTGGTATATAGCTGCCCATGCTCCGAAAGTGAGGATCAGGTGTGAACCCATTATAAGCTGTGTTGGTTTTATTTATCTTTTGTCTGTGGTGGGGGTGGGGTGAGGGGTAAGGGGGTAAGAGAGGGGGAGACCAGGAACAAGTGAGGATGAGAAATGGAAAAGCAAGCCAGAGCTGGTGAAGTCAGAACTCTGGACCAGTGAGGAAGGTGGTGGCGGTCTGTTTGTATCAGTCCTCAGGGGTGACCCCTTAGGACTGACTCAGAAGCACAGGTGGGGACCACTATCTAGAGAAGTGAGCAAGAAGAGCTCTGTCTTAGAGAAGTCTAGAATAATTAAGAGAATTATTTTTAAACAAGTATTTATTTTGTTTCTTTTTTAAAAGATTTGAGAGAGAGAGAACAAGCAAAAGAGAGAACGTGAGCAGGGGAGGGGCAGAGGGAGAGGGAGAAGCAGACTCCCTACTGAGCAGGGAACCCTATGTGGGGCTCGATCCCAGGACCCTGGGATCATGACCTGAGCTGAAGGCAAATGCTTTAACCAACTGAGCCACACAGGTGCCCCTATTTTGTTCAATTAATTATAAAAATAAATCGTACTCAAGGCACAAAATTTGGAGAATGTGGGAAGTACATAAAGAAATGCCTGTATCTTATCATGAAAATGTCAGAACCAAAATGAGATAGCATGAGTAAAGGATCTGGCATCTCTCAGGTACCCAGTGTATAATAATGCTGTTACAGTGCTGAGGCAGAGTCAACCCTTTGGCTCGGAGAATGAGGCATTTATCTTAAGGGATAAGGAAATGTAGAAGAAATTATTTTGTAATTAGCTTTTTATAATGTATGTTTATGGGGAAAAAATGTTAGCTCTTCCTTACTCCAGCATGAGAATGAGAAGTTAAAGAATCCTGCAGATTTATGAGAATGTTTTGTAGGATGTAGGGTCAACTCTTTTTTTTTTTTTTTAAATCAAGCACTGGGGGGGCCTCCTAACCACTGTGCTCCCTTGTCAGTTATCCAGACTGGGCGCAGAGAACTCTGGGAGGGAGTGTTTGCTTGCCCACAGGCCTCATTTATTGTCTGTTCCTCTACTATTGATCTGTTTGGATTGTTTATAAATTTACTGATCACACCAGTGTTTTACTTAGGTGCTTTCTTTGTGAATCACTTATGTACACAAACATTTACCCCAGCATTGTCCTTCAACCACAGAGGATCTGGCTTTAAAGATGTCACTGTCCAGCTTGTGGCCTCACCCCAAGTGTTTAATGGGCATCTCTCTAAAGATGGCAGCCAGGGCATAGGGTTATGTTCCTGGCTGCCTGCCCACAGGCAGTAGCCAGACTCCAGGAATAAGCTCTGACTGAGGCAGACCTGTAAACATCTGACAAGGGCAGTGTCCAGAGAGTCAGTGGGAGGAAACAGGCAGCTCCAGTGAGATGGAAAGGGAATCCTGGAACAAGAGACTGGAGATGCTGCACACTTGGGGCTGTCCTGTCCCCTTTCGAGGTCTCTGTTTCTTTGCCTGTAAGATAAGGAAGTTAGACTAGCACAGCTCTGAGATTCCTAATTACCCAGACCTGGGGGCGCTGAAAGTCAGATTTGTGAGCCAGCCATGCCGTGCTGATTATGTTAAAGTCTTGGGAGGGAGTGAGTGTTGGCTTTATAATCAGTTGTTATATTGCACATACTGATTTTAGCACTTCTCTATTTCTTATATTTCAAAGTATTTAAAGGTGTAATTTAAAAAATACCAAAGGGAATGGGTTAGTGGTTTAGAGGAAGGAATCAAAAGAGTAAGAGTTGCATCTTGAAGGGATGCCTTTGGTTATGTTTAGATTGAAGGAAAAAAGAGGCTAGCCTGTAAGCGGGTGGGGGCGGGTTGGGGACTGTTTAGGTAGAAGGAGAGACAAGAGAATAAAGAGAGATGATTTCCTGGACGGGAGAAAGGTCCTTTGGTCATGTTAAAGAATGAAAGGCAGGAATTTTGAAGTCTAGTTGGGGAGAGTTAGGACCCACTGGATGGAGTGAAAAAGAAACTACTAGTGACTTTCAAGAGAGTACTTTCTATAGAGTAGTCAGAGCAAAAGGTTGATTTAGAGAGGTTAAAGAGGCCATGAAGCACTGGAAGTGGAATGTATACACCTGTGGTTTGCCATGGCTGGTAAGAAGCAGCTTGAGAGCAAGAGGACAGTAGTTGGGTGGGGCAGAAGAGCAGCTAAGTAGAATGGTCAGTGGAATGGTGTTTTTAAGGGCAGAGAGAATTGTGTCTATTTGATAGCAGCACAGAAGGAGCTAGTAGGGAGGGAAGGTGATCAGTGTAGGGTAGTGTGGTGAGTGCAGCTTGGACTTTGCATGGAGTTTAGCTGCCTGGGCTCCACTCCCATATCTGCCAGTCCTTAACTGAGTGACCTTGGTCAAATTACATAACCTCCTTAAGCCTCCAGTAAGTTGCCTATAAAATGAGGATGGTAATACCATATCTTGTCGAGGTATCCTGAGGTCACAGATTGAAAGCACCTTGCAGCAGTGCTGGTGTATGCAAAATAAAATGGTGGAGGAAGAGGGTGATGATTAGGGACAACAGGACTCAGAGCTCAGGTTGGAGGGGCTACACCACTTCCATAGTGACTGAAGATGCCCAGGTCAGCGCAGGCCCTGAGACAGCTACCACTTTCTGATACTTTTTAATTTGTGCTGTGGTTTATCCTACAGATTAGTCAGAAGAAGTTGAAAAAATATGAAAAAGAGTATCACACCATGAGGGAACAGCAGGCCCAACAAGAAGACCCTATCGAGCGATTTGAGGTTCGTTTGCTTATGGCCTGGGTCGATGTGAAGAGCTTTCATTTCAGCCTTTCATTTCCTGTAATCGTGCCTGTAACTGGCTTTGCTGAGTTCTTTTAAATTTAAATTCAGATCCACTGTTTCTAGGTTCAAGTTTCAGTTTGAATTTGCAAATGAGAAAGTAAGATCTATGGTGCTTTAGATTTTTTTTTTTTTTTTTTTTTTAATTTGAGACAGAGAGAATGAGAGAGAGAGAGCACATGAGAGGGGGGAGGGTCAGAGGGAGAAGCAGGCTCCTTGCTGAGCAGGGAGCCCGATGCGGGACTCGATCCAGGGACTCCAGGATCATGACCTGAGCCGAAGGCAGTCGCTTAACCAACTGAGCCACCCAAGCGCCCAGATCTATGGTGCTTTAAACCAGCTGCCTAGATTGTCACAGTTCAGTAGCCTTTCGTCACGGTTAATCAGAAGTAGCTGCTTGACAAGGTCACTGGGACCAGTTAAGTATTTCTCATCGGAGATAGAAAAGAAGAAATTGTTGCTTGCTAGCATTTTAGGACCAGCCACTCCTCCCATGATTTACATAGGACTCAGAAATGAGTTTTGAGGGTTAACCCTGAGAAGTTGTCATTGCCATCTGATTTTTACATGTCTGTAACTAGTTTCTTTCTACCCTTCAGCGGGAGAACCGGCGTCTACAAGAAGCTAACATGAGGTTGGAACAGGAAAACGATGACTTAGCCCATGAGCTGGTGACCAGCAAGATTGCGCTGCGGAAGGACCTGGATAACGTGAGTCTGACGTGGCCAAAGGGATGGATTATTTTGAAACTCTCAGCTTCTCCCTTTATCAAGTCCAGTCCTTGAATTGTAGTGTCTCTTGTCCTAGTGTGTCACCTGTGAAGTGTCCCTCTTGCAGAACCACTTGCTCGTGTCACTCTAGCTTCCCTCCTTTCCTTCAGGGGTTTCCCTGTAAGCCCTCCCTCCCACACTCTTCTCTTGTTACACAGGCCGTCCCTGAACTCCTTTTCCACCAGTGTTTGATGACAGGCTTTTTGACTAATTCTTATGTTCCGACAATTGACAGTAGCATTTAATCATTATCCTTTACTTACCTTCCCTAAGAAGAGATTCTGTTATCCTGCATATTAGGTGCTTGTTGAATAAGCATTGCTAATTGTCAGTGCTTCAGCAGCTTGTGGTTTCACCAGTAAGTTCAGTTGGCAGATGTTCTTTCTTTGCTTCTCCTAATCTTAAAAAGTTCAAGATGATGGCTTTCCTGGCAGGATATTTGTCCCATTTTCTATACTACAAGCCTCCCTTTGAAAAAGTGTGGTCTTTAATTCATCGTTTAGGTCAGAAGTTGGCAAACTTTTTCTCTGAAGGGATGGATAGTAAATATTTTAGGCTTTGTGGGCCATATGGTCTCTGTTGCAACATCAAACTCTGCCATCGGCACAGAAGTAGCCGTAGACAATAAGTAAAGGAATGAGCATGGCTGTGTTCCAATAAAACTTTATTTACGAGAATAGGTAGAGGCTGGATTTGGCACATGGACTGTAGTTTGCCAACATCTGACTCATATTTCCCTGTGAGGCTCCTAAGATTACTGTTCTGTTCATTGGTTTCCTAAGGTTCTAGAGAGAGGCTCTCTGTTAAGGGTTTACAGGGGACTTACATGATATGTTGAACCCCGTAAGATCTATGAACTTCACAAGGTCCTTGACATCCACCAAATGTGTATGAAAATACTGTGTTCTGTATTTCTTTGAAAGTCTGTACTTCAGTTAGATTCTCAAAGTGGCTCACACATCAGATGAAGAGAGAGCAAGATGGTGGTATCTACCAGTTTTTATTTTCTTTAGAAATAGAGTTGTAGAGTAAACAGTTTTGAGCAGACCTGTTTTTTTTTTAAGATTTATTTATTTATTTGAAAAAAAAAAAGATGTATTTATTTGAGATGGAGAGTGCGGGGGCGGGGGGGATTGGAGGAAGGGCAGAGGGAGAGGGAAGGAGAGCGACCCTGAGATTACAACCTGAGCCAAAACCAAGAGTTGGATGCTTAACCGACTGCACCACCCAGGCACTCCGAATAGACCTGTATTCTAATACCACTCTCCATTCAAGTAGAGCAAAAAGTGGGAAGGTGGAGTATCAGCTGCGTCCCATGGTACAGGGAGAGCGCCATGACTATAGTGAATGTGAAAAGCACCGCCAAACACAGCCAGCCCAGGCAGTGTTCCTTCCTCTTGCTTGTCAGCTACACATGGCTGCAGGTGACTGGGAAGGCTGCTTTTTCCAGTTTCGGGGAGGGGGGGAGGCAGTTTCGAGGTCATTAACCCTCAGTAACCGGAAACTGGAGCCCTGACTGCTTCATGGTTTAACACAGTCTGGCCCTTAGGTTTGAGTCCCCACCTTCTGGTGCAGATTCCTGGCCTGCCCTGTTCTTTGTAGGAGCGCTGGAGGAATGGTCCCCTCCTTGTTGAGGCCTTTCTGCCCAGCGCGTGGAGGGAGGCGGCTGGCGCTGAGCAGCATCTACTGAAGCCAGGCCACAGCGCGCACCTAAGGTGCCCCACAGCAGCTGGACATCATGCAGGAAGGAGGTGAAAAAGACAAAAGAAAATGGGTCCTGGATAGGAGCTTTGTGTTCAAAAAAATTGTATGAAGAGGCAACTTGAGCTAAGATCCCGGGCGGATTGTTTAGTTTGAGCTGCTGCATGGTCACCTGCCAGGCCCAGCCATCACACTGATGTTCCCCTGTTGAAGGTGGGCACAGACTTCTCGTGTTCTTGAAGTCTGCTCCTAAATGGTGTAAACCTTTTTTCAAGTTGTCTTATCCTGAGACGGTAAAGAGCTAGATTCTTTAACATTCCTGATACCAGGAGTGAGAAATAGTCAGAATAATGTGAACTCCCATTTCCTGATGATCTGTGTGACCAGCACTGTGATAAGCACTTTGCTGACATCTAGTATCTCTTACCCTTGCCTCAGCCTCGTGAGGAGAGTTACATGAGCCCCACTGATAGATGAGGATTTTTGTAACAGTCGTGAAACTTGAGATTCAGAGAGAGATGGAGGCGCCGGGGAGAAAGCAGAGCCAGGAATCTAACCCAGGCCCATCTGATTGGAATGCCCCAGACTTGTCTACGATGCCACGCTGTCTTCAAAATAAATATGGAACAAGAAGCTACGATTTGGTGTAATAACTACATCAAAAACATACATAGTGACACATAACAAGCAAATGTTTCCTAAGCACTTACCAAGTTCTAGGCATTGCTCTAAGTGCTTTTGTCCTCAAAACAACCCATGTTGTGTCAGGGATACACTATGATCCCCGTTTTACTGATGAGGAAACTGAGGCATAGTGTGACATTTCAGATTGAAACCCAAATGGCCTGACACCAGAGGTCACACTCCTAACTTGGCTCAAAGGAGCAGGGCTCCTACTGCCCTTAGGGCTCAGGAACTTCAAACTGGGGTTCCCTCCTCCAGCCGGCTACTACAGTGCTGAGAAGACAGACCTTCCCCACACTGGACGTGGAGTCCCTTGCCAAGTCTGTCTTCTCTTGTTCTTCAGAATCATCACTGAAAATCAGCTAGGTTCTGAAGTGAGGGGCATGGGGTCCTCTCACCCCCTTTTTTGGTTTGTTTTCAGCCTTCAGGGACTCAGGTTTTTTGGGGGTTTTTTTGAGAGAGAGCACATGAGTAGGGAGAGGGACAAGTAGACTCCCTGCTGCAGGGCTCGATCCCAGGACCCGGAGGTGATGACCTGAGCCACCAAGCTGCCCCCTCAGTCAGGTTTTTGAAAGAAATTCATTATTTTTAGCTTTTCCCTTTTTGCGTCCCAGAGTAAAACTCTGGCGTATGCCTTACCAGGTTTCCAGAACACTCTTTGAATTTTCAGTTGATGTTTTATGTCACTTTTGTTACAGGAGAAATTGCTAGTTAGCCACGGAGTCCCCAGGTGAGCCCAGCCATGCTGTCTCCTCTATGAAACGGGAGTCCTGCCCAGACCTAACATTGCACAGGGCCAGCAGGACCATACCTGAGTCCCCTCTGGCACACTGTCTACACTGAGTGTAATCAAAGTGAGGGAAACACTCAGGAGCCCACCTGCCAAGATTTACAGTCTGGCTACACTGCACGCTAGATCTGTGACCTTGAGCAGCTTGCAAACCTTTACTGAATGAATTACTTTGGCTTCTTTATAAAAAATCGATTGTATGGATGCTCTCCTCAATTCCATACCTGCTCCATTGATCTATATGTGTATCCTCACGCTAACACCATAGTCTTAATTACTATAGCTTTACAATCTGAAAATCAGGTCATGGAGTCCTCTAACTTCATTGTTCTTTTTAAAAAATAGTTTGGCTGTTCTGTCATTTACATTTCCACATAAGCACTAGGATCAGTTTGTCAGCTTCTAGAAATAAAAGACTCTGGGGTTTTGAGTGGGGTGGCATTGAACCTGTAAATCAGCTTGGGGAGAGTTATCATCTGAATAATAATTGGACTTTCCAACCCATGAATAGGTTATAATTTTCATTTATTTGTGTCTTTTTCAATTTCAGCATTGTTTTTTAGTTCTCAGTTAACAAAGCTTGCACATTTTTTAATTTATTGTAAAGGATCTTGTTTTCCTAACGGCGTTTTCAAATTGTTTATTGCTAGTCTCTAGAAAGAAAATTGATTACATGACCTTCTGTCCTATGACCCCGCTGAATTCACTTACAATTCTAGTAGCTTTTTTGTTTACTATTTAAGATTTTCCACGTACACGGTCATTTCATCTCTGAATAAAGACAGTTTACTTCCTTTCAAGTCTTTATGCCTTTTTTTTTCCTTGCCTTCTTGCACCGACCAGGATCTTCAGAACAATGTTGAATGGAAAGAGTGGGCATCATTGCTTTGTTCCAGGCATCACCTGGAGGGTTTTCATAGATCAGGTTGAGGAAGTTCTCCTTTCTTCCTGTTTGTTGAGTTTTTGTCATGAATGGGTGTTGAATTTTGTCAGATGCTCTTCCTGCATCTGTTGAGATGATTATTTGCTATTTCTCCTAATTCTGTGACTATGGTGATGTAATTTTCAGTGTAAACCAACTTTTGCATCCCTAGGAAACTTGGGGTTTCCTTTTTTTTCCTTAATATTTTTAATTAAACTTTTTGTGTTCAATGGGAAGTATTTGTCTGGAGTTTCCATAATGTTTTGTCTTGTTTTGGTATCAGGGTAATGATGGCCTTCTAAAATGAACTGGGAAGTGCCCCCTCCTGTTTTCTTAAGGAATTTGTGTAGGATTATTCCTTGATTAAATCTTTGATTCCCTAGTAATGCCATGTGGGCCTGGACTTTTCTTAGGAAATTATTTAATTATGAATTCAGTTTATTTCCAGATAATGAAAATTTTCTAATTCTTGTGTCTGTTTTTATAATTGTGTCTTTCCGATAACTTAATCATTTTAGTTGTCAAAGGTGTTGATAAAAGTCATTGTTATTTCCTTACTCTTTTAATGTTTATAGGATCTGTTGAGATGTCTTTCATTCCTGGTAAGAGTAATTTGTGTCTTTTCTCCTTTTTCCTTAATCTGACTAGGAATTTATCAGGTGTGTTGGTTTCTTCAAAACCCAGTTTTTGGTTTGATTTTATTCTCTCTTTGTTTTGTTTCATTGATTTCTGCTTTTCGTTATTTTTTCCTAGCTTCATTTTTTATTTAATTTGCTCCTTTTCCTAGCTGATCTTTTTTTTTTTTATTAAGATTATGTATTTTAGAAGAGAAAGAGCGACCACACACGCAGGGGGAGGGGCAGAAGGAGAGAGGGAGAATCTCAAGCAGACTCCCCACTGAGCGCAGAGTCTGGGCTAGACTCAGGACTCGATCCCATGATCCTGAGATCGTGACCTAAACTGAAATTAAGAGTTCAACACTTAACCGACTGAGCCACCCAGGCACCCCTGCTCTTTTTCTAGCTAGTCTTTTTAGTTCTAGACCCTGTTTTTCTAAAATAAGCATTTAAAGTTATAAATCTCCCTGAAGCACTCTTTCAGCTGCATCCCACACATTCTGATATGTTTTTATTTTCATTCAGTTCTTACTATTTTTTCTTTGACCTGTGAATTGATTAGTATTGTATTGTTTAATTTTCAACTATTAGGGATTTTTCCCAGAAATCAATCTTCCTCCCTCCCTCCCTTCCTTCCTTTTTCTTTCTTTTTTTTTTAGATTTCATTTATCTATTTGAGAAAGCAAGAACAAGCAAAGGGGAGGGTCAGAGGGAGCAGGACCCAGGGCCCAATCCCAGGACCTCGAGATCACAACCTGAGCCAAAGCCTAACTGACTGAGCCATCCAGGCACTCCTCCCAGAAATTTTTCTATTGTTAATTTCTAATTTAATTCAGTTATGATCAGAGTACATATCCTTTCTGATTTTAATCTTTTTAAAATATATTTATGCTTATTTTAGGGCCTACCTTGTGGTCTATTTGGGTGCATGTCCCACATGTCCATTTGCAAGTGGAAAATGTGTGTGTTTTGTTGTTGTGGGTGCAATGTTCTATAAATGTCAGTTTGGTCAAGTTGGTTGAGTTTTTTTTTTTTAAAGATTTTATTTCAGAGAGAGAGCACTAGATGGGGGAGGGTCAGAGGGAGAAGCAGACTCCCCGCTGAGCAGGGAGCCTGATGTGGAACTCAGTCCCAGGACGCTGGGATCATGACCTGAGCCAAAGGCAGATGCTTAACTGACTGAGCCACTCAGGCACCCGAGTATTATTGATTATTGAAATCTTCCATGAACATACTGGTTTTCCCTCTCTACTTGTTCTATCACTTACTGAGAGGACAGTGAGGAAGTCTCTGTGCATTTATTTCACCTTTCAATTATGTTAGTTTTTGTTTCCTATAATTTGAACTTATACATTTCAGATTATTACACCTTCTCAATGGAGCAAGTCTTTTATTATGAAATGTCCCTCTTTGTCCCTAGTAATACTCTGCTCTGAAATCTACTTTGATATTAATAGTCACTCCAACTTTCATGGTATTGCCTGGTATACATCCTTTTCCATCCTTTGTCCTTTAATATATCTGTGTCTTTATATTTAAAACTGTTTTTTGTAGCCAGAGTATAGTTGGGTCTTGCTTATTTTACTCAGTCTGATAATCTCCTCCTTTTATTTTATTTTATTTTTTTTTTTATTTGATAGAGAGAGACACAGCGAGAGAGGGAATACAAGCAGGGGGAATAGGAGAGGGAGAAGCAGGCTTCCCGTGGAGCAGGGAGCCCGACGCGGGGCTCGATCCCAGGACCCTGGGATCATGACCTGAGCCGAAGGCAGACGCTTAACGACTGAGCCACCCAGGCGCCCCATCTCCTCCTTTTAAGTGGAATGTTTAGACCAGTTACATTTAATGTAATTACTTATATAGTAGATTTAAGTCTACCACCTTGTTTATTCTCTGCTGCATTTGCTTTTTCTTTCTTCTTTTCTGCCTCCTTTGGTTTGAAGATTTTTTTTTTTTAAGATTTTATTTATTTATTTGTCAGAGAGAGAGCACAAGCAGGGGGTACAGCAGACAGAGGGAGAAGCAGGCTCCCCCCTGAGCAAGGAGCACAATGCGGGACTTGATCCCAGGACCCTGAGATCATGACCTGAGCCGAAGGCAGCTGCTTAACCAACTGAGCCACCCAGGCGTCCCTAAAGATTTTTTTTTTTTTTAAGTAATCTCTACACCCAACATGGGGCTTGAAATCACAGCCCTGAGATCAAGAGTTTACACTCTTCTGACTGAGCCAGGCAGGCACCCCTCTGTCTTCTTTGGTTTAATTGGGTATTTTCATGTTTTCGGTTTATCTCCTCTATTGCCATATTAGCTATTCCAGAGCTCTCCTATCTCCAGGCCTCTGTCCCCCAGCTCCCAACCACCTCAGCATCCCTGGTCCCTTAACTGCCTCCTTGACCTTTTGAGACATGCTCTGTTTGGAACCCTTCACCCTCCTTCTTGGTCCAGAATGTGCCTCTAGGTAGAAACCCAGGGTGATAGTGGGACTCATCTTGTCTTCTTTCTCCCAGGAACCACAGTTCTGCATGTATTGTTTTCAGTGTCTGAAAACAGTAGTTTCATACACTTTGTCCAGTTTTTTGTTTACAGTGGGAGGGTAAATCTGGTCCCTGTTAGTCCTTCATGACAAAAAGTGGAAGTCTGGATTTGTCTTTATTATCTCCAGATGCTCCCTCTTCATATGCTCGTGCAGAGAGAGTGCAGGGAGTGTGGTACCCTGAGGGGACGCTGGTTAGGCAGTCCAGTAGCTTCTGTGCACCTCCCTTTCACACAGCGTTGAGAGTCATCAGCTCTTTGAGAGGTGGCACAAACACTGGGCTTAATGTCATGCCACCTGGTTGCAGATTATAGCTCTGCTGTGTGCGTTGTGAGAACTTGAGGGGAACCAGGGTGGGCAGGGGAGACTTGACTTCAAAGACCCAGTTCATAACCTGGCTGTTTCACACTTCTCAGAATCACTACCATGGTAGTGGTGCTGAGTGACTGAGTGAACATTTGTGTGTGCTCCAGGCTCCAGAGCACTGCTCAGAAAATGGTAATGGAGTCCAGGGGAGAGAGGAGAAAGGTAACAGGTTGCTCCACAGATTGAAGTAAAACCAATCTGTAACAGGACTTAGTTCTCCTTACTAGTTATTTTCTCTGTTGTTTGGTTCTCATTTCCCTTCACTGATAATTGGGTTTGAGCTAGAGAAGGAGCTGACAGGCCACAGCCCAGACAGGACAGGCCTTAACTCTAAGACCCCACTTAATTGCACACATGTGCAGCTTGCCGTAATTAATGGCCTTTTGAGGTTGTGTTATCAAGCCATTCTCAGTTCTCCATGTGAGGCCCCAGCCCTGCAGCTCCTGTTCCTCCCAAAGAAGATACTTCAGAGCAAGTGTGGTGTGGTAGAAAGTGCAGGGGCTCCGTGACACCTCTTCAGCTAGGTGACATCAGAAACGCCATTTAATTTCAGGGAATCCACCTCCATTCGTTGTTAAAAAGGGGGCTGTGTATAAGGAGCCAGCAAAGACCCTCTATATCTAATGCTGTGGGACTAGGAGCTTCTGTCCCATTTCTGTGGCTGCCCTCTGACACGCTCATCTTTGGTTATCCTTGGAATGTCCAGTGTCAGGGACTCCTGCGCCAGGCACAGGTGTATCATTTTCACTTAGACCCACAGATCTACCCACCAGACCTTTGCATGTTTTCAAAAAGAACTGGAGTGGAGGGGGGCATTTCAGATCACGGGTCAGCGAGTGCCAGGAAAGAGGCATCCTCCTTTATCAAGTGATGAGAATGAGATGTAGACCTTGTTTGAGGAAGCAGAGGAAATACTGAGAGTCTCAGGGAAGAAAACCAGGATTTATTATTACTATTAGTGATCATGACTGCTGCCTTTTATTGAGTGTTTACCATCTGCTAGGTGCTGTGCTGTGCTGAGTCCTTCGTGTGCCTTATCCCTCAGATGACAAGCCCGAAGCTCAGAAAGATTCTCAGTGACTTGTCCAAGTGGCACATGGTCAGAGAACGATGGGGGTTGAGCCCAGGCTGTCTTATGCCAAAGGCTGAGCTCCTAACCACTGTCCCGCACAATGTCTGTGCAAAAGACTGGGCCAGGCACTTCTGCATCAGTCTAGTGTCTGTGTGACCTCTGGCATATCTTTCCCCTCTCTGGCTCACTTTCCCTGTCACGTTAAAAAGGGATTGTCCTGAGCAATTCAAATCCCATCCGGTTCTCAATTCTTGTTCTGTGATGGCATCTCTTACATGTTTCAGGCTGAAGAGAAGGCAGATGCACTCAATAAGGAGCTGCTTATGACCAAACAGAAGTTGATTGATGCTGAAGAAGAGAAAAGACGGCTGGAAGATGAGTCCGCTCAGGTAAGGGGAGCGCTGCCCCGCCACGTGCCTCCGTGTCTTGTCAGGGCCTGAGAGTCACGAGTCCAGCTGGCGGCTTCCTGTTGGCACTGGGGGACCACAGACAGCTGGCTTCGGTTTCTCTCCGAAGGCTTTTTCTATTTACTGTGTAAAGCATAATAGTTATTAATAATTAGAGCATAGGTGGAGACACTGGGGCAAAGCCCATCCTTCCTTGGGACAAGAGAAATTCCTGTGTGTCAGCAACTGAATGTAACCAGAAGAGAGTTAGCATTTCTGCAGAAGAAAAGCAGACATATTATAATGTCTGGCTCTTCCCCTACCTGTCCACTGGCACCCCTGCCCCCCACCAAAGAGCAGACTCTGGAAGGCCTGTCTTGAGCCAGCTCTCCACAATCACTTGGGGCCTCAGGATGCTGCACAGCCTGCAGGAAGCTCCTCTTGCCCCCGTGGTTCTCCGTAATGGTGACACTCTCTGGTCTCTGGCAGGACTGCCTGAGGTGAGAGACAACAAGGCACTGTCTCTGTACGGAAGACACAGCAGTCCTCTGAGGAGCTTTAATCTGTTGGGTCTGTGCTGCCTCCTCAGCTCAGGTTCACAGGCAGGGAGGAACCTTAGCCAAAGCCCCACTCCAAAATGGGGTTTGAGCTTTTGGGGAGTTTTGACTTTTCTCTCCCTTTCCTGGCATCAAGACCAGGTAGGTGAAGTACAGCCCTTCCAGAGTAGTCAGGTACTTTTTGGAAAGCCCAGAACGAGGCAGTTAGTGCCAGAGCTTTATATTTTCCTTAAAACATTCACTTTTCCTTTTTTTTTTGTTTTTTTAATGTATATAGTTAAAAGAAATGTGTCGTCGGGAACTTGACAAAGCAGAATCTGAGATTAGAAAAAACAGTTCTATCATTGGTGACTACAAGCAGGTGAGTCTGAGCACCCTGTGAGTGGGCCATGTATTCTGGAAGCCCTGCTTGTCTGGCTAAATGCGTCCCCTCCACATCCGCCTGCCGCCTGCACCGACCGGTGACTTCACTGGGCAAGTGACCTCACTGTTCCTCAGTGCTGACACAGGAGAAATGACCACTGTCCCAGAGAACTGTCGTGAGGATTCCGCAAGATCAGGTCTGTAGAGAGCCAGGCATAGTGCCCAGCATTTATAAACAGGCATTTAAGAAATGAAAGCCACCCTGCCCTTGCGGCCTCGTGTTCACGTGTGGTCACATGCTGTGGAACCACTTCTCTCCCTGGCGGGTTGAGTTTTAAGAACATAACTAAACTGGTCCTGTTCTTTCCTAAACTCGGATCTCGTGCTGACTCGAGAGTCTGTCAAGTGTCTGTAAACCGTCGGCCGTTGAGTGTGGCGCTGACGGATTCCTCACATCCTAGGCCGGTGGATGTGGAGGTGGCACAGCCCATCCTCCTGCCCTGACCTCCTGCCCCGACCTCCTGCCCCGACCTCCTGCCCGAGCTCCTGCCCGACCTCCTGCCCGAGCTCCTGCCCGTCCTCCTGCCCCATCCTCCTGCCCGAGCTCCTGCCCGTCCTCCTGCCCGACCTCCTGCCCCATCCTCCTGCCCCGTCCTCCTGCCCCGTCCTCCTGCCCGACCTCCTGCCCCGTCCTCCTGCCCGACCTCCTGCCCGTCCTCCTGCCCCGTCCTCCTGCCCGACCTCCTGCCCGTCCTCCTGCCCCGTCCTCCTGCCCGACCTCCTGCCCGTCCTCCTGCCCGACCTCCTGCCCCATCCTCCTGCCCCATCCTCCTGCCTGACCTCCTGCCCGTCCTCCTGCCCCGTCCTCCTGCCCGACCTCCTGCCC